GACTTGTGATTTGTTTAAAGTCAATATTTGGCCATGGTATTGTCTGTTTTTAGAATGTCTATTGGACTTGTGATTTGTTTAAAGCCATGTTTGACCATTGTATTGTCTATTTTTAGAATGTCTATTGCACTTGTGATTTGTTTAAAGCCATGTTTGGCCATGGTATTGTCTGTTTTTAGAATGTCTATTGGACTTGTGATTTGTTTAAAGCCATGTTTGGCCATGGTATTGTCTATTTTTAGAATGTCTATTGGACTTTTGATTTGTTTAAAGCCATGTTTGGCCATTGTATTGTCTGTTTTTAGAATGTCTATTGGACTTGTGATTTGTTTAAAGTCATGTTTGGCCATGGTATTGTCTGTTTTTAGAATGTCTATTGGACTTGTGATTTGTTTAAAGCCATGTTTGGCCATTGTATTGTCTGTTTTTAGAATGTCTATTGGACTTGTGATTTGTTTAAAGTCATGTTTGGCCATGGTATTGTCTGTTTTTAGAATTGTCTATTTTTAGAATGTCTATTGGACTTGTGATTTGTTTAAAGCCATGTTTGGCCATGGTATTGTCTGTTTTAAGAATGTCTATTGGACTTGTGATTTGTTTAAAGCCATGTTTGACCATGGTATTGTCTATTTTTAGAATGTCTATTGGACTTTTGATTTGTTTAAAGCCATGTTTGACCATGGTATTGTCTATTTTTAGAATGTCTATTGGACTTGTGATTTGTTTAAAGCCATGTTTGGCCAAGGTATTGTCTGTTTTAGAATGTCTATTGGACTTGTGATTTGTTTAAAGTCATGTTTGGCCATGGTATTGTCTGTTTTTAGAATGTCTATTGGACTTGTGATTTGTTTAAAGCCATGTTTGGCCATTGTATTGTCTGTTTTTAGAATGTCTATTGGACTTGTGATTTGTTTAAAGTCATGTTTGGCCATGGTATTGTCTGTTTTTAGAATTGTCTATTTTTAGAATGTCTATTGGACTTGTGATTTGTTTAAAGCCATGTTTGGCCATGGTATTGTCTGTTTTAAGAATGTCTATTGGACTTGTGATTTGTTTAAAGCCATGTTTGACCATGGTATTGTCTATTTTTAGAATGTCTATTGGACTTTTGATTTGTTTAAAGCCATGTTTGACCATGGTATTGTCTATTTTTAGAATGTCTATTGGACTTGTGATTTGTTTAAAGCCATGTTTGGCCAAGGTATTGTCTGTTTTAGAATGTCTATTGGACTTGTGATTTGTTTAAAGCCATGTTTGGCCATGGTATTGTCTATTTTTAGAATGTCTATTGGACTTGTGATTTGTTTGAAGCCATGTTTGACCATGGTATTGTCTGTTTTTAGATTGTCTATTGGACTTGTGATTTGTTTAAAGCCATGTTTGACCATGGTATTGTCTGTTTTTAGAATGTCTATTGGACTTGTGTTTTGTTTAAAGCCATGTTTGGCCATGGTATTGTCTGTTTTTTTGAATGTCTATTGGACTTGTGATTTGTTTAAAGCCCCCTTGGTATGTACTATCCCTCGTTTATAAACAAATGTTACCTTCTCGATATGATTCTAACGAACTTCAATAACTCAAATAAATAATAGGTTTTGTTTGATTTTATCACAGTATTTTAAGACTCGGGACTATTTAGGGCTGTCCATATAGAAGTTTGTCTATACGTAAGACTGTTTGTTACGGAAGCGTATTAGCGCCACACAATTCTTTTTAATATTTCTTCCTATGTTTGAGTTATAACGCAAACCTTTACGAAATAACGCAAACATTTGCATTATAACATAAAACGTTTTGATTTTAATTATTCATTAAGTTTGTATATTTTATAATCCAAAACTATTTTGGAATTACATTTTACATTTATGATATAATTTGAAAGCAGTGTTTTGTAAATGTCGGTATTTGCATGTCCGTTTGTCTGTTAAGTTTGGTTGTGATTTAGTTAAGAGGAGGACCATGAGCACAAGGCCAAATCATTTTAAAAATATTCATAGGAACAAGGGAATACTTTTATTGCAATTATACATAAAATAAGAATGGTTTTTGTATCAGAAAAATTACATAAATTTAACGTGAAAATAGATATGGTATAGGCAAATTTCGATTGAAAGGCCAATATTTTGAAAATTTTGATTTACGGAAAGTGGTAAAGTAGAAAAGAGCAAAAACAATTTTATACAATGTGAAACTATAATAGACACACGATCTTTCAGCTTAAAAATCAATTGTTTAGAATAAAAATATGGCATAGATTCTTAGCTAAAAAAAAATATGGGGTTTTAATTTTCTCTCTAGTAAGGTAGCTATTAAAGATGCTTTTCAAATTCAAAAAGCTTCATTTATCTGAGACAACAAAATCTTCATCTTAAACATTTATTTCAATATAGTAGCTTGTTTGGATCTTACAAATCTTTCACAGTGCCAATAGGAGCGCTAATTTTTGAAGTATATTAAAATTCGGCTACATTAACAGAGTTGATTTTTTATTTTCTTCGGTATAACTTCAATTCACTCAATTTTCTTTGGAATATTCTATTACTTTGCCATGCTATGTGCTAAACACCCCAACATTATTTTTTTAATTTAATACTCCATTTATAACAGCTACTTCCCTTGAAACTTAAATAAGATAAAACAAATGTTTGCGTTATTTCGCAAATGTTTGCGTTATTTCGTGGCGCTTAAACGCTTCCGTAATTTGTTGCTTCTATATGTCTATTTGATGATTTTTCGTTGGTTTGCTATATCGCTACCGTATCTCACACCTCTTATTATTCATAATCAAAAAATTATTGAAAATCGAAAGACAACATTTGTTTTTCTATTTTAATGCTCGTACTTAATCATGAAGAAAAGAATTATCATCCTCTTACATATAGATAGATTGACAGACACGCTTGTGTAGTCGTATAATGACATTTTTTGTTTGATTTCATATTATAGATTATGTATATCATCATCGTTGTACCTGTATAAGAATATTTTTGTGGATAATAATACCAGTCAACGAAATGCTTATTTCTGGCGTCTTCCTTGTTTCCCTTTTCAATATTGACATTCTTTTCCTTTTAATGTTTAAACCACATGCTGAACACATGCGCAACCCATCTTCACTTAAGGTCAAATTAAAGATTGCGTGAATACGGATTCAAATAAGGTGAATTATTGAATTGCAAGCCAATAATTCATCAGCGATGTTATAAGCTTATTTTGACGAAATTGAACCAAACAGACTAAAGGCGAAATATTATTTCTATATTCAACTTTTGAAACAAACAAAATCATTTTTTATTTTTGTCTAATTCGTAGCTCATGACATTTTAAACATAACAAAAAAAAATAGAAATAGAAATAGAAATTCTTTATTTGACCAATCATGGACCCCTTGCAGGGGAACTATAATGAGGTTGAACGTGATAACTCTTTCATTTATTAAACTGAATTAAGGTAGACAGTGGTTTTATAAACTTACAATGTTGTTTGTAGTCTTGTCTATTTCCTATATGGTACAGAATAAATATATCAATTAAGTTTATAATTGTTAGAAACTTGTATGGAATTATATGTTCATATAATCATATTACCACTGAACAAATGTGCTTATGAAATTGATTGAGACATCTATCATATTTAATGCAAACATAACCACCAATGAGAAATGTTCCCCCAGACAAAACTAATATCAGTAAACAATTTATCAATGAATGACAGAAGTCGTGAGCTTTAATTTGCTCTTGTTTTCTGTTTAACTGAGATATTGAATTGTGATATTAATGTCAACTTTTTTATAGTGTGTGCGCAGAATAAAATAAAATTGAATCATCGACGAAGCAATTGTTTTTCAAAAGTTTAAGTATAGGCTGTTTTGCTCTTCTTAATTGGCACCTTGTATTGACGACATAAGAGGACAAAAATAGACTCTTGCTAAAATATACTTACTATTAAAACTACTGTAAAATACACATCCTACATTGAGCTGTCCAATATTTTTCTTGTCCTGTGAGACCATAACTCCTTAATCTGATAACAATTTTCACATTTGCATTATAAGCGAAAATCATAAGACTTTTTTTAAATGATAAACTGAAACACATGTCAAGAACCATTTAAGAATATTCGCAGCAGTTTCGGCTATGGAATTTGAATATCGTTGAATTTAACTTGTAGTTACGTAAAACAAATAAATAAGAACGTTTTAGCAGTTTGGAAAAGGGTGAAAATTAAAAATTTCCACACTCACAAAAAACGCTTTTTAAGAATCCTTTAAATGTGGTGCTTGAGTTTTATATGAAATAAAATAGCCATGATACTAGTCAAGAATAGAATTTATTTTTTAGTATGTATTTTTGAAAAAGAGGAACAAAAATTTAAAAAAGAATTGAATAAATCTCATTTATTAACTAAATATATTATTTGCTCTGAATAAAAATATGTTTTAGTTTCAAAAACCACTTAAGATATTCTTCTTAATTACTGGGACTACAAGTATAATAGTCCAAGTTAATTACAAGAATTTTAAGCAATATTTAGGTAGGAGGATTAATTTAAATAATTTTGATTTTAAGATATATATATACTTTTTTATTGCTTTTTGCTGTGTGCATGTCATTAAATCTCATAAAATCAAAAGATGATTTATAAGTACCTCGGATGACAAGGTTTACACCTTTAATCCGGATTTCTAGCTTTCAGTCAAAATCCTTAAAATCATACATTTCTTAAGAAATGCATTTAAAAATAACTTTTCTACACATTTAATCCATGGCACTATATTTCCAGGTGACATAAATGATTTTTATCCCTTGAGAGCTAATAGCAGCCTAATACAAATACTATTTCATTAATATTAATTTTTAATAATATTAACACTTTTTGTTGAAACAGATTAATTTTTCATTTTTCAAAAGAGAAATTAGATATTTGTGTAGTGATTACTCCATGTCTGTTGTGGGTTGTCCTAGGGACATTTTTCAAAATAGATTTGTGGGGAAAAGGTTCTTAACATGTGTTATATATTGTGTGTTTCTATAATGTGCATTGGAGTCTGAACATTTTGTCATGGCATACTATTTGAAATTTAGAAATTATGTTTTACTTTTATTTGTTTTTGAATTTTACAGATTCTCAGAATCCAGAAGTATGGTAAGTAAACTTTTCTATGTTATTGTAAGTTTAAGAACTTTCAAATTATAATCTTTTCACGTACCAAGTCAGGAATATGACACTGCTGTTTCCAAGTCAATTGGTATACTAGTAGTTTAGTGTTTGATTTCGTCAGTTTTTAATAAAAATGACTTTCCCCTTTTTGAATTTACCTTGAAGTTCTGTTTTTTTTTTTATTATTATATTTTCTTCCTTCAAAGTCGACCTCAAATTAATCATTGTATTAAAATCATTTTTAAAGTAAATATTTTCGGAATTATTTTTTGGAATATTAAAACAGTAATCTTGAGCGCTGGTGAAAACGATCAAAGACCGTGTCAGAATCAACCTTTCTTTGAATAAGGTGTAAACAGTCATCCTTTTAGTGTGTAAAAACTTTGCCGTTTAGTATGGCAGTGTAGTTAAAATTGTAAATATAATTATTCTATTTTTTTTTATTTCATTGTACAATATTGTTTCATTGTTAGTTTTTCTGTTCACTCCGGGACTAATGTGAATATCATACCTAATAATTTCCAATATTATCTATTCTATAACAGAAAAGAGAACGAATCAAAGTAAATTTTGTGTCTATTTAAAACAAATAAAAGAATCGAAGCTGAAACATGTTAGTCTTTCAATTTACATCAAATAAATCAGTTTTTAATTTGTTCGCAAATAAACATAGCATTATGGTATCAAATTATAAAGAGCAATACAAAAAATAAACTATTTTAACCCTGCCACATATTGATGTGCCTGTCCCAAGTCAGTAACCTCGTCGATGGTTATCTTATGTCATAACTTTTTGTTTTATTTGGAGAATTTGGTATTGGTGATAAATGCTTCAAACTTACTGTTATTTGTTCACATTTTTAAGGCTTTGAACCATTTACAGCTTGACATATTGTATAGACACTTGTCTATTGTTGAAGGCTGCATATTTCGTCAGACATATTGTATAGACACATGTCTATTGTTGAAGGCTGCATATTTCGTCAGACATGTTTTATAGACACTTGTCTATTGTTGAAGGCTGCATATTTCGTCAAACATATTGTATAGACACTTGTCTATTGTTGAAGGCTGTATATTTCGTCAGATATCTGGTGGCTTTCTCTTTTTTATATCCACTTCTCGTTTTATTCACGATTAAAAGTATGCCATTTTATTGTTTAAGAAACCAATTGCATAAAAGGAAAAGTTTCTATAAATTCAACACATTATTCAAAATTAAGATTCAAAGAACGTACTTAAAAAAAGGTTTGAATGAATTTTATACAAACTTCTATGTTTGGTTGATGTTTATCATGTTTGTGTTTCGTATATTGTTTTGTATATTAATCAGGCCGATGGTTTCCTCGTTTGAATTGGGGTTTTTCTTATTTGTAATATCGGGGCCTATTATAGCTTACTATACGGTATGGCGGATTTTGCTCATTGTTGAAGGCCGTGCGGTGACCTTTAGTTGCCTACTTTTACGTCATTTGGCAATCATACTTCACCTTCTTGTTTTGGGGTAACTGAAGCACGCCTCCGGGTGCGGGATTTTCTCGCTGTGTTGAAGACCCATTTGTGGCCGTCGGCTGTTTTCTGCTGTTTTGTCGGGTTGTTGTCTCTTTGACACATTCCCCATTTCCATTCTCAATTTTATTAATGAAAGCGAAATTTTTTCTAGATGTACAAGATTGAAATTTAGATCCTTGGTTAAAAAGTTTTTTGAATGGTATTTTAGAACTTCAGATTTAAAGATACGCAATTAAAGATATTTGTAAAAATGTCCATCTCATGTTCCATGCCCTACCTAGTATTATTTCCTGTTAATTAAATATTAAACTATCAGCCTGAACAGTTGAAACACATAAATAATCCACACCTTAATCTTAGGTCTATTATGAATAATTTACATTGTACTTGGTGATTTTCTTTTATTTGTTTTTGAATGATCATCGTCGTATTTGACCAAACTTATCCATTGATTTATCACTTATCTTGGCTGCTTTAAATTAAGATAATTAGGTTCTACCAACGTCTACGGTGGAAATAAGTCATTATGCCATTTTCACATTTTTTAATCACTTGTAAAATTAAAGATGTGCAGAAAAGACTGAAATAAAAGTACTACTATATTTTGTTCATTTACCAATTCAGACTATATGAACCATATGGTGTGAAATGTTGTTTTTCTTTGTTTGTACGTTTGCTTGTGTGTTTTTCGAGTTGGATGTTGGTGGTTAGTGTTGTCTGGTGTAAAGTCTAATTCTTTTGGTTATTCCTGCTATCCTTTTTATGTATTGTTAATAACGAAGGCATCACAGGCAGGTTGAATCTTATATCATTAATTAGAAATGCAAATATTGGAAACAATCTTAGAATTGTATGATTAACTGGTCGTTTGTTGCTTTCACAATTTCGATAGATCTTTAATACTTTATTATTTTTCCACCCATTTCGGTTCTTCTACGCGAGCCAGTGCATAGAAACCATTAACAATAGACTTTGGTGATTACTGCCTTTGTTCATACATGTGTATAATAAAAATTGTACAAAAATATAATTTGAAATTGAAAAAGACATCTTGGTGATTTCCTAGGATAAAGGATCGATTTATTCGCAAAAACAACAATTAATATTTTCTCTATTATTATTAAAACGACACATTACAGTATCTGCCAAAATATGTGGTGGATGAGTCAATAACTCGGCGAAGGGGCTGGTTTCCTTCACAAATACGACGTTAACTCACCACCATGAAACTAATAACTATGTAGGAATTGGCATCAAATCCCATTATACAAACAAACATTCCGTTGATGAAATACATATGGAAAAAAGAGTACCAATATTAAATTACCTTTCCAACGAAAATTTTCTGATTTATCGCATCAGGTTGTTTCACAAAGCCTCTTTTAAGCTCTTAATATCTGTTCTTATAGCAGTGAGGGGAATTTCCGAGATATTTTATTATATAGTCTACATAAGAAGCGACTATGGCGTAAATAAGAAACATAACAAATCAGTTATCCATTGAAACGCCTTAAGCAAGGTAGTATTATTTCGTCCAGTCTGTCATTATGCCTTTCCCTTTAGCAAAAGTAATTATTTCTTCTGGTTTGTAATTCCTTCTGATAAACCGTATACCAGATTGCGAAAATTCAATTATTTTACATTATCATTTTCAGAATAAAAAAAAACTACCAATGTTTTGCACTTCGAAAGAAAGGTATGAAAAAAGCACGAAGGAAAAAACTCTGATTAAAATAATTAACCTTTTACAAGTCAAATAAGTGGAATCAATAAACAAAGTATATCACAGTAACTATTTCATAATTTTGACCAAAAATGAATTTCATATTTTGTGTAGAAGTCTAAGGAAAGGAGAAGGTCCGGTAAGGTATAATTTTGGCCTAAAATTTGAAGTACATCTGATGAAAGATTTTTGACTTTTTTTAAACACTTAAGTGTCTATTTCAGTCGATTCAATAAACATATATAGTTTATGTAAACGATTTGAACTGATTTGGTCATTAAAGGCGCAAATATGAAAAATCTATCAAATATGCCATAAAACGTCACTTTTCAGATGGTTTTTGTCTAAAATGAAAGTGGCCGCATTCGTGTTCAGTCTCAACCTTTATATATGTTATTAATTATTATCAAATACAACATATGTTTAATATTAGGACTGAACACAAATGCAAAAATTGTGAAGATTTTTAGTAATTTTGCATGTGCATTGTATTGTCAAAAACAGCCCATATTTACGTAAGAAAAGTATTCTACTTTCCAATAAATAGCTAAAAAAATTCATTTTTGTAAACATGCTATAAAGGGGTCTTACCGGGCCTACTCCTTTTATTAATATCTCACCTAAAACTAATGTCTCAAGGTATCTTTAATATGTAAATTAAAAGAAATATATTTTAAATTAATCTCTGTACTTCCTCTTGTCAACCTGTCATATATGTACAGTTTTCAGCAGTACTTACGGGGATTGGTATTATACGGTTTTTTTATAGAAATAAGTAGCATGAAAATTGCCATTAACCCTTCCACAGCATTTGATTTCAGCTCTGAATTTTGGAGTATTTCGTACAATCTTTATTTTTTTTGTTAAATGTTTTGTGGACTTATTTGTCCATTCATCTTTTTTTTTCTTAGCCATGTTGTCGTCAGTGGTTCTTCTTCATAGTAAGGTGTTTTAGGAGGAGTGGCGGATAAAAAATGGGCACTCCCAGATGAATAACTGGTAAAGCCCGTGAGTTTCGATGGGAAATGCACAATGACATTATGTGGTTGAAATACTTAGAAAGGTTCAGTAAATTCTGAATTTGGGGTTAGAACGAGATATTGAAGCGGACACAAATGTGTACTCTAATTTTCGGATGGATATGACAAAGTCCATCTAATGCCAAATTTAACCCCAACTATCATTCAAATGAAGAAATAATTAAATGAGGTCCAAAAGTACATCATGTGAACAAGGTTCTGTGAAAGTTATACAAAATTCTGTGCAGGAGCAATAGTGGACATAAAATTGAGACAGAAGAACAAATGAACTTACGAACACGTTCATCACTACAGTTATGTCACCCGCTTCAGGAAGCCGGGTTAATTTAATGAACTCTAAAAGGAATAACATCAAATGCATGTATATATGCTTAGCATTTCCTGCTATGAAATCATGATTCCCAACTCTTGTTTAATTGTCAAAACTTTTAATAAACTAGTTTGGACAATCACTGACAAATTGGATGTACATGCATGTTTTCGCATGGAAAATTAGATGTATTAGTACAAAGTATTCTGTAAACTATAATTCCATCTTACAATGAAATTAGAACGTGTGGAAAAATTTCCGTCAAACCACTACAATTATTCTTTTTATTTAATGCTTTTTATTTTGGTATATCTCTAACTATCTGTTCCAAAGGCAGAAAATGTGAAAATGGAAGCCATAGTATATTCTGTATTTATTTATACACATATATATCTTATTTATTATCATAAAATTTCAATGCCAACGAATCATTATTTTGGTGTGATCTTCTAAATTTCGGGATATCCATAATCTATATGATTTTCATTCTGTTTGATACTTTAAAATATTAATGACAATACAAAAGTTTACATTTGGCATATTGTTATTGTGGACTCGTTGAAATATTGAAATATCAATTGTAAAAGGAGATGTTTTAGCATACGTCAATTTGACAACAACCCAACGACATAATAACCAAATTTTAGACATGTAGACGTCATCAAACGGTCTTTAACAATATATCAATTTTAAGCTGTAAATAAGTCACTCCGAGTTTAGAAAAGTAATAATACATTTTGTAGCTTTTCAATTTAACTTTCTTGTTTATATCTATCCAATATGATTTCTTTTCAAACGAAAGTTAAAATATGATATGAAGATGAGGATATCGGTACTAAAATACCCCTTTATTTTTATTTTTTAATATTAGCATCCATTAAGGAATCTTTAAAAAAAAAAGAGAAATTTAAGAAGATACAAAAATGGCATTAAAAAAATCAATCAGACAACACCATGGCAAACAAAACAACAGGCAAACAACAGCCTACAAAACAGGCAAACAACAGCCTACAAAACAGGCAAACAACAGCCTACAAAACACTACACAGAACACTTAAGTTTGACTAGTCACACTTTTTTAGTAACTTTTGGATTTATTTTGTATTTAAGCAAATTTGAGACATCTTGGACTGTTTATCTATTGAACTGTTTGGTTATCTAAACTTTTCTTCAGAAAGGCTGCCTCAAACACACGACTGTTCTCATTCAACCTTTATATAATTTAGAAAATAGTACTAGGCAATTAATAACAATTAGATAGTACTAAGTCAACTCATACATCAGGTAATAAATTAGAATCAATTGCTTTATTTCCTGGTAAACAAACTGATAGAAAATCGACGCAACCGAACAGAAATGATTGAAAGACCGGAATCAGTTTGATAATGATCATTTATTGTGATTTGTCAATAAAACAAACAGAGGATGATGCTTGTTTTATAATTGAAAACGTATGACTTATTGCACTTCCGGAAGTTCATACAATAGGTTCATCTCCTCTAGCCTAGGGTAACGATCCGGCCCCTACTATAATCATCATCGCTAGTCAATGGTTACGAGGAGGCCGGATTGTAACCATTGGCTAGCAAAGATAATAAAAGGCATGTAGGTGATAAGAGCAAATGCAAATCTGTTCTTTTCATTTTTTTCAAATTCAAGATTGAATTGAATTATTGAAAGTTTGGAACTCTGTGTGATTTATAGACTATATCCATTGTTAGAAAGAATTCAAGTTATTAACATTCGATCTCGTTTGCTGGCTGGCTCTAGTGAAAGTAAAAAAATAAATATCAATATGAACTGAATCTACAAATGAACGACACAATTAGATAAGCAATATTTTATTTATCTGAAAAGACTACTACTAGTAGTCTGTCCTAATGTCATAAATTTGTGGAACCCTTACAGGTATCTAGTTATTGAAAAGTGACAACCGCTACGGCACTTGTTGAGAGGCACGTGTTTTAGTGTGCGAAGTCTATACACACGCAGATACGTCTGACATGATCAAACACGTTAAATCTAAGCACTTATTGGGAGAATGTAATGCTAACTGCACGTAGAAGAGCCCTGGCTACAGCTTTTCAAAGTGGCCCATAGGTTAGCTGTTATGAGGGGAAATTTCTACTTAATTGTCTGCCCTTACTTATGTCCTACCCACGTGTCAGATCGTGCCAATTGGTTCGAAGCAATCAACTATCATCTTTTATTTTATCAATTTGGGGGATTCCAGCCAGTGCAGCATGCATCTTTGCTAATTGATGACGATGGACTGTCTGTTGATGTTTTGATATTTGTCATCTCGCTTTTTAGTCTATGGTTGCTCGATGTGTGACACACACACACACCACATCTCCTTAAACTTTTTAGCTGTGCAAGGACCTCGCGAAATACATTGAATGTTATGTCATCATTCTAAATAGTTAAATTGTATTATAAAGAATTTCAAAAGTTTCTGTTATTGTTAAACAATTCTCCAAAAATTTTCGATAAATTTATTGCAATCTGGGAAAATTACCTTTGTTAAAAGTTATAAAAAAGAAATTATAACTTATTGCTACCATTTTCACATGCTTAATACCACTTTCATCATTCTAATATTAAATTTTATAGTTTATAGAGTTTTTTAATTGTTGTTTTCTGTACAAAAAAAATAGGGTATTTTGTCCTAATATTCATACAATTAATAGAAATGTGAGTTTTTAAGTTCAAATATCTGAAATGATGAAATATCAAATGAAGACTTTCCAGTTGCAAATATTTTCAGAGTAAAACAGCGATTTTACTCCCGAAATCACACTATGGGCCAGTTCAATGGCGGTATATGTTTTTATGTGTGTTGCGTTGTTGTTAAAACAATAGCAATACCATCTCTAGCAGTTTTCCTATGTTAAGCGATTGTAGGTGTAGTTAGACTAGACTAGGCAAAAGCATGCTTTCCGCTTCTAACAAAAAAATACTTTCTGTCTATGCCAACATGACTTCCATTTATTCATTGAAACTCATTGTTTTATTTATCTATGTACACACTGAATTTATTGAAATGATTAAAGCATCATTTAATGTAGCTCATCGTATGTTATGCCAAAGAAAGATAACCCATATTCATTTTGATATGCATAATCATAGGTAAATAATTACAAATACATGTATGATTGACTGATAACAACCGAGATATATTCCAATATTATTAATGTGACATGATTCCCATCCCGTTATCAGAAACGGGCGTCTAAAATCAGCGTATAAACCCAGCGCCTTACCTGCACGAAGTGACCGCTAAAAACAGACCGACACCATCTGCACGTACATGTATTTCATATTAAATCGACTCAGAGGTTGTCTGTAGGACTACTTCCGAAGCAAGTATGGCTCGTACTAAAGGGGTCTTTATTTGGGTTCTCAGAATGTATAAATGCGAACTCAGTATAAAAACGAGACAATTATTCACCAGAGTTCAAATGAAGTGAATGTAAGTAACTATAGGCAACTGTACGGCCTTCAACAATGAGTAAAACCCATACCGTATAGTCTGCTTTAAATGGCCCCCCGACATGAAAAATGTGAAACAATTCAAACGAGGAAACTAACGGCTTGATTTATAACAAAACAATTTACGAAAAACAAACATGTCAGACATGAACCAACGACAACCATGCACTGAACTGCAGGCTCCTGACTTGGGACACGCACATCAAGTCCGGCCAAAACAATGATGTTTTATCGATGTCTTGTGTTTGGAGAGTGCTAACCTTTCTGCACATAACAGACCCACTTGTAATAATTCTTTGAGAGGTTCGTTGATGATAAATTGCAGGGGGGAATTTCTTCCACCGATCAAACCTACTTTTTAAAGTGACAGTCCAAATTTCTGCATCTCGACCTAATGTGCAGAACATATCAATCTGACTTCTTGTTTATTTGTCCTCTCCCTGAATATACTTGAAATATTTGCCTCTGGTTCTTCTCTTTCTGAATATGCATGAAATAGTTGCCTCTGGACGCTTAGCAAACAACAGTCATCAACTAATTCAAATTACTCTGTAATCAGCATGTGATATATCGAAAAATTACTAATACAAAATGCATCACTTGCAGTCCTATAGAAGGCAATTAAATATGCGTCATCAACTTTGATGCATCAAAGATCAAACATCATGGATTAGCAATGCATTGGTTTTCACAGCTATTTTTCTATGAATAATGCACTTTATATCTAAAGAATAATAATTATTCGTTTGCTTTAGCACGGATCATATTGGTAATTAAACAACTATTATACCTAAATTATGGGTATGAATTGAAAAAAAGGATGTGTCAGTGAAACAGGAGTGTAATTTACTAGAGTTTAGTTACTGATACATTCTGACTTCAGGAAATATTTAGCTATTGCAAGATTTAAGCATATTGGTTATGGCATTAGTTCTTTAACCTTTTTTTCAGGGTACATTCGACAGCGTTCAACTTGGTGATATTTTGAGACAATCAGATTTAACGTCGATGTCTGATAATGAAAATGGAAGAGATGATGCGGAATGGCCAAACTATACGGATAATGGTGATCTCAAAATTGACCTATCTTTGAACCAATTAGTGAATTTAATGAGAAAATTAAAAAGTCAGAATAAGATAGACCGTCAAGATAGAATTAAAAAACAAATATGCTACGTTCAAGAGCTGTGCTAATGTAAAGTCATATTCAGTTTTTGTTTTGCAATCTAAATTCATTTTCAGGAGCATTGAACAACTTTCCCTGCTTTTCAATATTACAATTTTACTGTTCCATAGTGAGTTCTTCATCTTAAACATAATAACGTCTTTTGATGAATTGTGTAGTTCAATATGACAGTATTTGTCTGGTCAAAGTCAAAATCAAAGGAACGCAAAAGGAAGACATCCAATCACCAGTAACTCATGAACGTGGGAACTTGTCATTACAGATTTATGGAATTTCTTCTGTCGACTTTTAATAAAATCAACTGTATGAAACCTTTCACAATGTTTTATTTGTTACCATGCTATTCTAATTATGTATTTTATAAATTAAAAAGCAAGACTATATTTTTTCTGACTAAAAAATACACCGCAGTTATTCAATAGTATTGTTGTTGTATGGAGTTGTTGTATGGCCTTTATTTGATCTTGTATCGTGTAAACACTGAAGATTGCCATTGTTCTGTTATCTAATATTCCTGTATTTTTTGTAGAATGCTTTCAGTTTGTAACTGAACTATGTCAAAAAGGAGAGGGGTATGACTATCATATATAAGTCGTGAACATATTACGGCATATGAGGTTTGGTTTGTATAAAGAGCATTGATGGTTAAATTGTTTGTTTGCTAGCTAGACATCAATATCATATTTGTTTACAACCTTTTGAAAGAGTAAACATTGTTCATTAGCCAAATAAAAAACGAAACAAGTAAATATGGATGAATGAAACCCCTGTTTGACCAACTTGTTTGTATATCTCCACAATTGGTAATGGAGAATTCATGCATCAACGAACAAGCAAGAAAACAACTTACAATCAGTACTGTATAAAAATAATGATTCAAAGATATACAGAAAACCATCAAGTTATGAAAATCTACATGTCGAATGGCGTCTTTCAATCTCCTCATTCTTCTATGTGTGTATAAGTCTCATCGTTGACGATACATGTACTACGGGGGTGTTTTATGACCTTTACTATCACGGTCGGTCGTTGAATGTCAAACGTTTACCATCGCGAAATAAAAACCCTCTGCTTTTCATTAAGATTAAATTTAGTGGCGGTCTCAGTTACAACACGAATTGCCAAGGCAGAGGATAGCACTGTGAATAAGCAGCATACATTTATAGTATTGTGTAATTTAACAAGTGTGGACACAGATCAGTGTGGATAGTTTGATTGGATGTTTGACAGTGTTTTATATGACAAAAGGAGTTCTATGTTTTATGTTTTCTATGTATTAACTGTGTTGCACAATGACAACCAACATGAGCATTAGGGGTGTTGTTTATGTAATATTTAGTTTTTTATGTTCAACACGGGCATGGAAGAGATACTAATTGCATTAATTACCAAATGATTACGATAGAATATATATGTTCCACATCTTTGATTTTGGATACATTTTGTAGCTAGGAGAGGAACACATAATAGGTTCATTTTTTTCTTAATGTGATTTTTTTATATGGGAGATGGTATCTGAGAACATGTATTTGCTTACTATTTGTATGGTTCTATTTATATTACTTTGTGGGGGATTGTCAGTATCATAAGTAAAAGATTTCGGTTAAATGTGGAAATTGTTTCTCAGTTTAGAAGACATTTAATGTTTTTTTAGTAATGACAATGCCTGACATGATGATTGGGGCTAGATGAGCTAGAAAGTGAATTTCTGTGTTATTTTTTATTAATTCTTTGAAAATATCTCCTCCAAAGCTGGTCAAAGCAAAAAAAAGTTTTGACCAGTATGAAAATGATATCAACAAAAGAACCTTTGTGAGCATGCTTCAAAGACTCATAACTAACTACTGAAGTCATATGATAAAATGTCAAGTGGATATTATGAACATCTACTTAATATGTCTAAATATCTAAAAAGTTTTAGTATTCAATATGAAAAAGCTATTGCAAAAGTATTCTCTTTTCAGTTTTTTTTGTTATATGGACACAAATATAAGTGATACCAATACAGTAAGACAGTTTTGTTATGGTATGAAAGTGTAGTAATTAGCATTTACTGTTAATTCACACAAATTAAGAAATAAACAAATGAATGATAAATGTTGAACATGTACAATGAAATTTATTTTAGAAATCAATTAGGCCAGATAGGACTTATAAATTTTGGTCTTTTTCTTAACATACTGAATGACCATTTACACTCAGGACTGAGTCGCCAGTAGGCAGTACAGATGTAAACAAATATGGATAGTGTCCACATGTGAACACAGATGATGCCCCCGCTTGCATATCATATAGTTATAAAGGGACATAACTGAAGAACGGTTAAAGTGACGCTACCCAAATTTGAACTTGATCTGAGTTTTGTGGTAATAAGCATTGTGTGTAAGTCTCATAACATTTGGTTGAGGCTAACTTAAGTAGAGAACAGAAACTCAAAATTCAGCAATTTTTCTATTTGTAAACACGCATAACTCTAGAACGGTTGTGTATAAGTTTTATAATATTTGGTTGAAACAAACTAAAGTTAGAGAACGGAAACGAAAAATTCAGCAATTTTTATGTTTATAAAGGGACATAACTCAAGAATGGTAAAAGTGTCGCCACCAAATTTCGTACTTAATCTGTATTATGTAGTAATAAGCATTGTGTATAAGTTTCATAACATTTGGTTGTGGCAAACTAAAGTTAGAAAACGGAAACAAAAAATTTGTACTTGATCTTAGTTTTGTGGTAATGAATCTTGTGTATAGGTTTCATAATGTTTGGTTGGAGCCAACTTAAGTTACAGAATGGAAACTAAAAATTTAGCAATCTTTCGATTTATAAAGGGGCATAACTCAATAATGGTTAAAGTGACCCTACCCAAATTCAACTTGATCTGTATTTTATCAGTGGAAGTCAAAATTAAACATTGCATTGTATAAAGCATTGATTGTAGTTGATTCAACTATAATCATGGACAAAGGAAAATAACTCCAATTTTAAAATTACTTGATATTTAGAAGAAAATAAAAATTTAGCAATTTTTCCATTTATAAAGGGGCATAACTCAAGAACGGTTAAAGTGACGCCACCAAAATTCAAACTTGATCTGTGTTTTGTGGTAATAAGCATTGTGTATAAGTTCATAACATTTGGTTGAGGCATACTAAAATTAGAGAACGGAAACGAAAAATTCAACAATTTTTCCATTTGTAAAGGGGCATAACTCTAGAACGGTAAAAGTGACGCTACCAAAATTCAAACTTGATCTGTGTTTTGTGGTTATAAGCATTGTGTATAAGTTTCATAACATTTGGTTGAGGCAAACTAAAGTTAGAGAACGGAAACCAATTTTGGGACGTACGTACGTAATGCCCCCTCCACTACGGCAGGGGCATAATAGCGGAGGGGGCATAAAAATAAAGTGTAACAAAAGAACCTATCATCATATTGCTAGTAGCGCCAGTAGCATTGTTTGGTGAATTTGTGCTTTTTTTTTAGTTTGGCTAATGGACAAAAAATGTTTGGTTCAAATCTAAATAAAATGCTTTTATTTCCCTATTACTTACATTGTACATAGAATGAATACTACTTTGACAATTCCTTGTACACGAGAGTTGTCTGTCAAATCTTTATTTCACAAAGAATGAATTGCATAACAATGAAATGAGCTCAAAGCAAAGCACTTTAATAATACACTTAGACAATGAGCTAAATCCAGTGATATACTTTGTACTACAGGTCCTTCATGAACATCCTACTGGTCAAAACCATATCTCACAAACATGCCATACTACATGGTTGGATCAGAAGTCCTGAAAAAGACATGAACTTTATCAACATATTTTAAGTATATACACTGGTTAAAACTTTCACAAATTTGTGGTAAAATTATTCAGTATCTAGCAACTATCAATCGCTTCATGCACAAATTGATATAGGTTAAGTACCCCTGTGTCAGAAATAAGAACATACCTCCACCTAATTTTAGTTAGAAACGTAAAATCTAAAATTCATAAAAAACAAAAGGGAGCTCATGTCAATAGATATAAACAATTCACCAAAGTTTTATGCAAATTAGTTAAAGCGGTTTTGAGTTAATGTTCGACATGTTGACGACGGACAGACAGACGGACAACGGTATACCATAGTACGTCCCGTAAACGGGCGTATAAAAATGACAGGGTGTCATACCACACCAAAACCTTCTGAAGGAAACACTAAGTTGGCAAACAAATTTTTTTTTTTCATTGACAACCCTGTATAACTTTGCAGCAGTATCGAGTCTACATGCATTACCTTGTATATTTCATGTACATTGAACTTAAAAATATGTGGTCATTGTCAAAGTTAGTTATGTCAGTTATAATTTACACATTTACTGAAACATGCCAGAGAAGTGCAAGTACAAACTTTTGAATTTGATCTGCAAACTGGGAAAGCCATCCTTTTATATGAATAAAATTCCACAATTTATTAAATTGAAAGGGAGCTTGCATCAATAGATATATATAAACAATTAACCAAAGTTTCATGACAAATGACAACTGCTTAAAGCATTTTCGAGTTAATGTCCGAAAACATGGAAATCCCCCTTTTTGAATGAATAAAACCCCTTACATTGTAACTGGATAATGTAAATTCTAAAATTCCAAAACAATCTAAAGGGAGCTCACATTAATACATGTCAGAATATAATCCCATATAACTCTGAAACGGGAAACCTAAAATTTATAAAATAATCAATTCACAACAGTTTCATGCAAATTGGTGAAAGCGTTGAAGAGTTAGTGAACAAAGCATTTTTAGAGTTAATGGGCGTTAACATGAAAATCCCCCTTTTTTAATGAATAAAACCTCACATTTTGAAAATGTATATTATAAAATTCTTAAAAATCTAAAAGGGAGCTCACGTCAGTAGATATAATCAATTCACCAGAGTTTCATGCAAATTGGTAAAAAATATTACTGAGTTAGTGAACAACATGCTAGAAACAGACAGATCAGGGCAGACAGACAAAGGCATACCATAATATTTCTCATGAACAGGCGTATGAAAACTGCAGGGTACCATTCCAGGCCAACACCCTCTGAAGGAAACACCATAAGGGAGCTTCCTTTCCATTTTTATGGGGGAAAAGAGGGGGGGGGGCTAGGATGAAAAATTTTGTCCTGCATTTTTTTTTTAGTTCGAGATGTAATCTGTCCTGCCTTTTTATTTTTCACTCTTTTTTTCTATTAGTTTATCCAGACTTGTTTTTACATAAATTGTCATCCTGCCTTTTTTTTCATATTGTCTCATCCTGCCTTTTTTTCAAATTTCATCCTAGACC